TTCAGCAGGGAGCTGTCAGCTCCTCGCAGCAAAGCTTGCCCACCCCTCAGGCAGACCTGCTGCAGCAGGCTTGGCCCTCGCCGGGATTTCCATGGCAGACACCATCTCGCCTCACCCTGGGGAAACCCAAGTCTGCTGTGCCAGCTGAGGGGCTGAAGCCCAGGAGGAGACAGTGGGCAGAGCCTCGGCTGAGGGCAGCCTGCCCAGGACAGGTGGGCCCAGGGCCGTGGCCTGGAACTCATGCACACCTGGCCCCAGTCCTTCTGGCTGGTCAGAGGAAATACAGGGTCTTGCTCCACACCCCACTCCCCTGCCTTCCTGGCTGAGGAAAGGCATGTGACAGAGACCATCTGACTTGACTGAAGTGGCCCAGAGGCAAGAGGACCCAAGGACTGAGGATGCTGAGTGCTCACAACAGCCCAGGAGCACCTGGACCCAGCCATACCTGATGCTCCCTTGTGTGACACAGAAGGGTCCTTTGTGAAGCTGCGATGTGGTGTCCCCAGTAATCCCACAGGAGACTGAGTCTCCCCCACGCCCCTCATCCTGCCGTGCTCCCCATCAAGGCCGGCATCTGCCTCTGTCTTCGCAGAACCGCTGGCCATTCTCCCACCTCACCCTGTGGGGTCCTAGGGAAGGGGCACTGAGGGAGGGCGGGAACAGACATGTTGTGTGAGGCTGCAAGAAAGCTGACCATCTATGGGGGGTTAGGCTGGGGAGGGGCTCAGGCTAGAGTCAGAGTCTTGAACTTAGGCCAAAGAATCCAGACTTTCCTTGGAACCCGTGAGCCTGGCTGCCATGTGGAGGAGGGTGGGAGAGGGCGGCAGGCTGGGAAGGCGTTGAGGAGGGGTGGGTTCAGCCAGCAGGGGCACCCGCAGAGGGAGTGGCCAGGACTGGGTGGGGGGCGGGGGGGACTCGGTGGGGCTGGAGGGCCCAAGGGTGTCCCAGAGGGGGTCCCGTGGGCTCTGCGCAGATGTTTCATGTCTTCAAAAAATCCTCCCAGGAAACTCTTGGAGCAGAATTTGCTGCCCCTGCTTCCTACAGGTGTGACCTCTGTATCCGGCCAGCTGAGCAGGGAAACGAGACCTTGTGTCCTGCAGGGAGAGGAGGCATTGTGGGGTGAGGGCACACACTGGGGGCTACCTGGACCCCTGCCCTGGACCCCTGGGTGGGTCTGGGAGTGGCGGCCTACCTGGGGACAGGGGGAGCCGATTCTGTGATGGCCACAGCTCAGCCTCCAGCGGGGGGGCCCAGGGCCCTGCTCGGGCAGTGACCTCAACTGTCACAGAACCCTCGGAGAAGGAAAAGTCAAGCTTGCTCCCCTGGTAGGAGATGCCAGAGACGCACACTCCGGAGATCCCCGCTGGACACATGGGGTCGAAGGTCAAACCGGCCTCAGTGATCCTGCGGCGAGGGGAAGGTTCTGTGAGGAGGGGGGTGGCGGCAGGTGGTTGCCCTCTGCCTGCCACTGCACTCACCTGAATCCCGTGACCCCAAAGAGCACCGCCTGCAGGAAGCCCCCCATGCCTGTCAGGAAGTTCACGGCACCCGACCTGTCTGCGTTCTCCGTCCACACCTGCAGGGGCAAGGCAGTCAGTGCAAGGAGGTGGGCGTGGTTGGCGTGTAGGTCGAGGCTCTGGCCAGGCTGACCTTGAAGGGCTCTGTGACGTTGGCGAAGCTCCTCTGCAGAAGGTCCCACGCCCGCCCGGGGTCCTTCAGCTCCATCCAGCCCACTGCAAACATGCTCTGGGGACAGAGATCAGAGGTCACGCTGGGGTGAGGCCCACTGCCGGGGGGAAGGAAGACTGAGGCCAGCGGGGCAGGGCCGGGGCTGCCCTGGGGACCACCACCCCACACCCTGCAGTTTCCTTACCCAGGTCATGGCAGGGCCCTGGGGGGACGTCACAGCCTCATACATCTCCAGGTTTTGCCTGCGAACTTGAGGACTCAGGGGGAAGGGGATGGGGTACCCCAGGAGCACAACATCTGCCTGCTTCACCTCCTCTCCTGGGGGGAGGAAGGAGATGCTGCTGATGGGGTGAGGTGCAGAGGGCGGGGGCTGCTCTGTTGGAAAGGGGGCATCCAGGGTGGACACGAGGTCCTGTGGGAGGGGAGAAGGGCCCTGAAGGAGCTCCAAGTCCACTTACCAGGCTGGTACCCATCAAACTCAGGGTGGAAATTCAGTTTCGGGTCAAAGGGCACCTTGATCTTATCAGCCACCACCAGCCACTGGTTGGGGACGGGCTGACCCAGGTCCTGGGCCAGGGCAGCAGCAAAGCGCAGGCTAGGAGTAGAGATGGGGAGAGGTGGGCTGCAGCCCCAGCACTCCTGGCTGGCCCCCTGCATGGTGGAGGCGGGGCGGGTTCTTGGGTCTGACCTGTTCTGGACCAGGACGTTGGTGTACACGGAGTTGTCGACCCCTGCGTGGTATTCGTCAGGGGGCATGACTCCTGGGCACATAAGTACAAGGTGGAATTCAGTGCAGGGTCTTAGGGACCTGCCCCTGCTGCCAGTCGCCAGTGTGGGCCTGGCAGCATCAGGTGCTGGTGGCCACATGCTGAACTGAGAAGCATCCGCCTGCTCCCCTACTTGTGACCATCCGCCCCCCGCCCCTCCCCATCACCCGCACCCCTCCCCCCACGGCCGCGCTCTCACCCCTCAGGTGGAACCCCTCCTCCTCAGGGCTCCACTCCACGCGGCTGCACCAAAACTCAGCCACGGCACTGACCACATCCCAGCCCCCAGCCTCTCGGAACAGCTGCAGGTCCTGAAGAGCAGGAGGTGGCGCATCAGAGGCCGCGGCACCTGTGATTCTAGTTCCCACTGGTCACTGCATTTCTTGCCAACGCCCACCCTTCTGAGTGCTCAGAAGTGAAGGCCCGGCTCGTGGGATGCTCCGCCGGACCGGCCCAGACAGGAAGTCATGGCAGCGTGGAGGGCGTGGCCTCGCTAGGTAGGGGGGTCACACGTGGTGGTACAGTGACACCTCACCTGGGTGGTGTGGTAGTACAGCCGGAAGGCCAGCACCACGGCCCCGTTGATGTGGATCTCCTGGGTCCCATAAACGGCCTCAGGGCAGACCTCCAGGCCGGAGCCCGCGCTCTCCCAGGCAAACTTGGCTCCCTGTGGGGTTGGAGTAGACTTGACTCTGCTCTCGGGGGGCCGGGGGTAGCCCACCCCAGTTCTCGACGCCCTCAGCCTTCAGCCATGGAGGGCAGACAGAGGTGGGGGCACCAGTTGTCCTGGGTGCCCTCGTGGGGGCCTGTGGGCTCTGAGTGCCCTCTGTTTGGCCCCATCGTGGGCCAGGTGGCTTCTGCCCCATTTCCACTGTGTACTTGCCCTGGGGCAGGGCAGTGAGGGGACGTCCTGCGGGGTCCCGCTCAGGCTGTTGTTCCCACACGCACAGTACAGGCTGGGGGATGCCACAGAGCCTCTATAAGAATCCAGGACATTCCAGCCCCACCCACAGAGGGGACTGGGGTGAGGGATGAAGGCCTGGGGGGTAGTATGGGACGTCAGCCCTTTGGGGGGCCCCGTAGGGTAGGTGCTCAGTCCCCCTCACCTGGTAGCCTAGGTTCTGGGCGTTGTACAGGGCCCCACCGAGCGTCCGGATGCGGTACTGCAGGAGAGCCCTGGCGGCCTCTGGGTGGAACATCAGGATACTGGGGAACATCCAGAGGTCCTGCGAGCACAGCCGAGGGGCCCCCTAGTTCTGGCGCCCTCACTCCTCTCTCCCCATGGACCACATCCAGCTCCCTCCTCTCCTGCCCCGTCTGGGTCTGTCCTGGGCCCTCTGCCTGCCAACCCCACAGTCCCATCCCCAGCCCAGATACTCCTCAGGCCTGGTCCCCAGCGGGCATCTGCGTCTGCCCAGGGCTCAGGCCAGAGTCCGGGTGTGGGCAGCCTGGGGGTCGGGGGGTGTGCCTGCTCTGTTGCTCACTAGCTGCCCGACCCAGAGTGAGCAACTCGGCCTCTCTGAGCCTCACCTGTAAAGGGAGCACAGCAGCAGCTTCTCCGGCATCAGGAAATGTGCAGCAGCGCCCTGGACACCCCAGGCCCAGCCGTCAGCTGGTCCTGGCTGCCTCACCTTGCTCCACCCTCGCTCCACTCAGCAGCCACAGGGGTCTTCCCAGAGCCCACGGCTGCCCATGTCCTTCCCCAGTTAAAGTCTCCACAGCCTCCTCAGCCCCCTCTACAACTGCTCTTCCTGCAGCGGTGAGGGCACCCTGGACAGATGCCCTGGACAGACGCCCTGCACCTGCTCAGTTCTGGGCCTCTGAACCTTCTGGTCCCCTTGCCTGAATCACATCACGCGTTTTCACCAAATGCCTACACAGCCTTCAGCCGAGATGCTACCTCCTCCAGGAAGCCTTCCGTCTGCCACGGTCCCTGGGCCTCCCCAACCACAGCCCCATCCCACGCAGGATCGAGGCAGCAGCTCTGTGTACAGCCGGCTCTGCAACAGGTGTGCGTTAAGGGTGGATGGTACGCACCTGGTCCCAGAAGACGTGGCCCCAGTAGCATTCCTCACGGCTCCCGTTGGAGAGGCCCCCTGGGCTGAGGCCGTGGCAGACGTATCCTGGGGCCCCGGCCTGGGGCAGGGCACTGAGCAGGTAGTAGAGAGCTCCACGCAAGGCCTGGCGCAGACGCAGGGGCCCCTCCACATCCAGGCCACAGCCTGCCCAGAGCTGGGCCCAGGCCTGTGCATGGGCCACGTAGAGAGTGCGCCTGGCCTGCAGCTGCAGGGCATCGGCGAGGCAGGCCTGGGCTTCGGCCTGGCTGCCACCCACCACCGTCAGGAACTCCCACGTCCCATCCTCCTCCCCTTCCCCAAGGGTCAAGGCTGGGGGCACCGGCGTCCACAGCATGTGCACCTCCTGCTGTGCCCCCCCAGGCTGCTCAGGGGTGAGTGTGTGGCCGTACAGGTACCTGCAACAGGATGACTGTGTCTCAGGAACGGGCTCCCTCCTCGGGCTACCCAGCCAGCCCCCCGCCCCCTCCTCACCGGGCTCCCTGGAAGTCAGGACCCAGATGCAGGTCCAAGTCCGGGCTTTCCGGGGAGAAGTCTGACTGCAGCAGCACAGTGACGGGCCAGCTCCCTGTGGCCAAGCGGGTGATCGACACACTGAAGGCCAGGACGTGAGGCAGCGTGCGATGGGCATAGATGCGCTGCGAGGCCCGGAAGCTGGGGCCCTCCAGGGTGTGCAGGAAGGAGCCTGGCGGGGCGGGGTGGGGGAGAGGGGAAGACAGGGCAACTCGCACACCCCACTCGGGGCCGCCGAGGACAGTTCCAAAGCTGCTGGCCTTTCTGGGCGGGGAGTGGAGTCACCTCCAAGCCCCAAATGCCCTGCCTGGGAAGTGACAGCTGCACAGGCGCCGCCAGCTCCTGCCAGCCCAGGAGGCCCGTCCGGCTGAAGGCCTCACAAAGTGGCCTCTCAGGGCTTCCTTTTCTTTGGGAGTCGGCATCCTCCGGATGGGACCTCTGTCGGGTCTCCCACTCACTTGGAACAATGGCGGAGGGGAGGGGGAGGTCAGGCAGTGTCTACCTGTGTTAGTGTCCAGGACAAAGGTCTTGGTCAGCTGCTCTCCTGATCCTGCAGGGGCCTCCAGCTGGACATTGAGGGGACTGGGCAGAATGGCCCGGTGCGTATCCCCCCAAGCCCCATTGTACACGCCGCTCACATGCAGTGTCTCATGATACACGCGTGTGCCCAAGTAAGCATTGGTCACGGTGGCCAAGAGCCGGGGGTCACTGGGCAGAGAATGGGCAGTGAATCTGGTGGCGTCCTTGCCAGCATCCTCCATGGAAAGGTTGGCTCAGCGGAGGGGCCTGCAAAAGGGGGAGTCAGAGGCCCCCACCGTTGGTTGGGCCTCCCTTTTCTGTAAACCCTGAAGCTCGCCTTGGAACCTGGCTAATGCCCCCACGGGTGGAGGGACGGGTGTGACCCAACTGGGCAGCCCCGACTGTCCAGAACCCCACTCTCAAGCCACCCCAGGAACACCCTCAACCCTCAGAGACCCTCGCCCCCAATACTGATCTCCAGGGACACAGCAGAGGCTCCGGACTCCCACTTTACGGCCTCAGTCCCTTCCAGCTCTCTCCGGGCGCACCGCCTCGAAGCCGTCCGGCTGGCGGGAAGGGAGGAGGCCTCAGCCGGCGGGCCTCACCCTCCAGGAGGCCGGCTGGGTACGGGGCGGGGTGCCGGCAGCAGCTGGGGGTTGGGGGGCAGGCGGGCCGTCGGCCGCGTCCCTGGGGCTCGCCGCAGCCCAGAAGCGTCCCTCGGCTCCAGGGCGTGGGCGCCGGACCGCAGGGAGAGGTAGCCAGCGGCGGCCTTGTCACCGGAAGGCCCCGCGGTCCCCGCCCCAAGGCGCGCAGCGCGGGCCGGATGGAACGTCCCCACCCCCGGGGCGGGGCGCTGGTGGGG